GCTTAGGGTTTGGGATCGTTGGGGTTTAGGGGGGTGTTAGGGTTTAGATGGAAGTTTAGGGTTTAGGTTTAAGGGTGTTCAGGGTTTAGGGCTTAGGGTTTGGGATTGTTGTGGTTTAGGGGGTGTAAGGGTCAAGGGGGTTGGTTGAGGGCAGGGTGTTCGCGGTTTAGGGATTTGGGGGTGTTAGGTTTTGTGAGTTGGTTCAAGGTTTTGGGAGGTTCAGGGTTTAGATTTAAGGGTGTTCAGGGCTTGGGGCTTAGGGTTTGGGATCGTTTGGGTTTAGGGGGGGTGTTAGGGTTTAGGTGGAAGTTTAGGGTTTAGGGGGCTGGTTCAGGGCTCAGGGAAGTTTCGGGTTTAGGTTTGGGGGTGCTCAGGGCGCAGGAAAGTGTAGGTTTCAGAGTTGAGGCTTAAGGTTTGGGATTATTAGGTTTCAGGTGGGGGGTTAGGGTTAATGGGGTTGGTCCAGGGCTTTTGGAAGTTTAGGTTTAAGGGTGCTCAGGGTTTAGTGCCTATAGGGTTTATGATTCAGGGATTAGGGGATTGGTTCAGGGCTTAGGCAAGTTTAGGGTTTAGGATTTAGGTTCAACAGGGTTGCTTAGGGCTTAGGGTTTGGGATTGTTAGGGTTAGGGGGTCAGCCTTTTTTTGGGGATTGGTTAGGGCTTAGGGAGGTTCAGGGTTTAGGTTTCAGGGTGTTCAGGGTTTGAGGCTTGGGGTTTGGGATTGCTGGGGTTCAGTGGGTGTTAGGGTTCAGGGGGTTGGTTCAGGGCTTGGTGCACGAATCGGCTTTTTTTTCCCGGGCCAGTGCGCGAATCGTCGGTGCTCGAATCCGACGGGGCAGTGTGGCAATCCTGGGGTATTGTTCCGGTGCTCAAATCCCTTTGTGGAGGGTGGACATCTTTTGATTCAAGATGATAAGTGGGGCTGGGCAGGGTGGGAGGGAAGGGTTAAAAGTTACAAGATGATAGAACGTCTGGAGAGACTTGCAGAATGGGGTATGCGGGAAGGCAGTATGTTCGAGAGTTGCTTCACTTTGCGCTCGCCCCGTGTGTGTGCAGTCACTAATGTGAAGTCAACATTGAAGGGCCAGTTGTCAGAAACGTGGGCAGCGAAAGGTCCTCGAAGGTTTCAAGAACTTAGAGCACCTCTCATATCTGGCCTTTATCGGGCAAATGCAGGCAGATGTCGAACATGGAAACAAACCTTTGATCCATGACAGGCTTTGGCAAGCGGATGCAGAAGTTCAGTCAACCCGACTTTCTGCAAAGCTGCAAGATCTTTGCTCCCACCAGGCTCTTTGCAAAGTTGCATTACTGAACGGAGCAGTTTGAATCTGCCTGCCTGGCAGGTGACCTTGGTTAGCGACAGCATGCCTTCCTGGGTACTTCGACTGGGCACCCTCATGTGCCTTGACAACAACTCTCTTTTTCTTTCAAGCTCTGCCAAACTCGAGACGTAGCCTAAGTCTTTCTAAGGCCTCAGCTTTTTGATCGGCATTGCCGGGAAGTTCTCCTTAGGCCAGAAAGCTTTGCGCATGCACGCAAGACTAGGGACTCACAAATCCCTCCGCTGCCAGGCCTGGCCAGATCTCACCCTCTGTAGCTGTAGCACCTAAAACCACAATCAAGACCCACCGCACTTGCAGCTAGCAGCTAGCATAATCACAGCCCCTCCGTGGCCAGTGCTGGGTTCGGGGCAGACCTACACAGGTCATCAGCGTTCGGCTTACCATTTGCAGTTCACGATCGCCAAACGCGTGAGGCACGGCAAGTTAATATGTCCGTGCAGGAACTAAAGCATGTCACACTGAGCCCCTGACATTTGTGAGCCTTTCACGAGGTGGACCGCAGATACAGCGAGGCTGGCTGAGCTGCTTCCATGTCCCTGTTGAGAATACCGCTTGCGGCTTCAAGCTTCGCCTGACCCATGCTGCCCATGCTGGACTGGAGCTGCGACCCGCCTGATCTCCTTTGCCTGCCTTCTGGGGTGATGACACTGCAAGACTAGTAGGACGCACCGGAAAGAGAAAGCCAGATGAACTTCTTGCCTCTCTCTATCTTGCCTTCGTGGATGGCATGATTCGTCTAACCAACATCCTCCCTGACTGGCCGTACTGGCCTCCGACGAGCAGGCACAGTCCAAAGCGCAAAACTGGTAACTGAAGAAGGATGAAGAAGGTATATGGGCAAATCATTTCGTTTCTCCCCTTGCCGAGTGTTCCACTGTCCGTCCTCTTTGAATGAGAGCTTACATCAGCGTACTGCATAGCAATATTGTAAAAGGGTTCTCGTTGTGAGTGGACGCGTCTTGGCGAAGAATGTTCCATGGGTCTAATCAATCAATCTAGCAACGTGTGCTTCCTTCCATGCAGCGGCCTTACTTGCCGTTGCCTGCCTATTGCGTTGACTGGAGGTCATGAAAGCAGCGGAGGGACGAGTAGCACAAGCCAAGAACCTCGGAGATCAGAGAGCGCTGCTTGGTTCCCAGATGTTCCCGGGTTTCCCTGCCAGCGAAACAGTGGCACTATGTGGCACTGTATGAGCTGTTTGCACAGCACCCGCCCCTTTTTTAGATTATGTTGGATTAAGGTCGCAAGCTTACGAGCATCTTTTCGAGCTGACGAAGCAGATATCCCAGGACCCCGAGGCACACTACCAGGATTTGCCAGGACTTCAGGTTGAGGTTGCCTCTCTCAAAATCTTCATGAAGATGGCAAGGTGTGGATAGGATCTTTGACGTCCGAGCTTGCCAAGGTGGACAGGCCTGTTCCGCCAGTTGTAAATCTGCAAAGGAATGCAAATCACTTGCGTCAAGCAGTGGCATTATCGCTGCCAGGGAGAAGATTTGGGATCAAGCCACAGCTCTGGCAGAGTGCTGTTTGGCGAGAGCCTTTGCTTCCAGGTCCAAGCACCGCGCTGCGAATTTGGAATAAGGTTTTAGTCTAGCCATTCTAGCCGCAGCTCTTGGTACGTTAGCCTTTTGGCGTGCCGTACGGTGACGACGTCGTTGATGCATGCTGCAACTTCCGAGTCCTCCACCGGAGTGGTTGAAGTCCAATTCAAGGACCCTGATTAGCCTGCCCAACGAAGATGGAGCGAGCATGTCCAGCGCCAGGATGAAACAGGCTTCGGGCGTGGCGTCACTCAAGGCGCACGCATGGATGTTGCTGTTTCACGAGAACTGCACCAAGCTCCACAGCAAAGTTAACTGTTTGCAGGCTTCTTCAGTGACGTCGCCAAAGAGCTGCAAAGATCTTCACACAACAGTGACGTTCCAATGTGGGTGGGCGTCTCAGCTGTTGCGCCTGAGGTCCGCTGAATTTTGCGAGAATCATAATCAGACAGCAAAATTCCAGCTAGGCCCAGTGTTTGGAGTCAGAGGGTGAGTTCTTGCGAAGTCGGCGCGGATTGATGGCGCTCACCCCAGGAAAATCACATCAAGATACATCAAGTGCTCAACGATGTTCAGTGATTTGGCTGATTGACGTGCAAGTGGATCTGGAATCTGGTGTGACCAGGTGCATCCTCTAGCTGCAGATGACCCTCGCCTTCCTGCAGTCTTAGCCCGCTTCCGCTCTCTAGGCCCAAAATTCACGCGGGTCACTTTGACCTCCGAGACGAACCACGCCAAAACGGAACAACGCCGTGGCCTGGAGGTCGTTTGCTGGCTTTGGCGCTGCGAGAATCCTTCGTCGTGCCGCTCCCTCTAGCGGTCCGCGGCTAACTTGCTGTTGAGTCCGTTTCTGCTGCTAGTGCGCCCATAAAGTTGCAGAGCTAAGGCGACTGTGCTACGCCAGCTGCGGGGAGAGAAGGCCTGCTTAAGTGCACACGGTCCAAGCTGCAGCGATCGTGCTTTTGGTGTGGAGAAAGATTACAAGAAAGCATGACAGAGAACCTCAGGTTGGCAGTGAGCACCTGCCTCAACCGGGAGATGGACTTGCAGGAGAGTTTGTGGGTGCCTGCCATGGCCCAAGGAAGGCTAACAGCCAGTTACTGTACTCATACAAACTTGCCCCCGCCTCTTGAACTTGAAGCTCTTATGACCCGAAGCCCCAAGCATTGCATTGGCAATCAAAAGGTGCTCGCTTCCGGGCAGACCTGGATGGGCTCAGCAACGACAGGAGGCATTTACGCCTTGCGAGATTTCGCCATGCAGCTAGTTGAATTGTCAAGCAGTTATGTCGCTGTGTTTGGCTCAAATTACATTTTTGTGTAGCTTCGGACCCATGCTGTCGAAGCTCGCGCCTGGTTGTTTACGGCTTTGCCGTCATGTTTCGGAAAGAACTTCTGCAGCGCTCAAGTTCGTCCTGGCGATGCAGACTCCGCCAACCAAAGATCCTCGCAATGCAAATAATTAGAATGCAACGATATAGATACGGGTATAGTTCCGATGCCGGAGAGGAGGTGGAGCTTCACGCCTTAACATGGGACACGGCAAAGCTCGCTAGAAAAGGATTTGCCCGTACAGTCTTTGCAATGCTTGAAAAGCCAACCCCCGACCTAGCAGACTAGGTGGGCAAAGTCACACGGAACACATTCTGCCAATGGGAGCTGGATGAGCACACCTTCACCAACCAAACCAAGCCGAGCAAAAGCCAAACCAACTTCAAGAGGTGATTGTTAGCTCTGGAATCTCTTGAACCCTTTGGAGCTCAGCTAGGGCCAGACCACTGCGTCAACAACCCCGATTCTCGAACAGGAGTCTGGGCAGGATGTGCCATCTCTTGAGCAGCAGCTGGCCGGCGCGAAGGCAAGAATGAACTCAAAACGGGGCTGTGAAGGTTCCATGAAGATCAATGCGTGGCCTGCCTGTGATTGCCATCTCAAACAGGATCAGGTGACAGTGCTGACTGCGGACATCAAGCGCGTGAGAAGTGATGCTGCGTCGCTTGCTGAAGCGACGCGTTCCAAGGACAGTTGCTGCCTTTTCCCCAGCTATCGGGCTGTTCAAAGAAAGCATGTGGGAAGCCTCAGGATCTGCCCTTGAAAATCACGCAAATGCTGGGCAAGAACGAGCAGGAGGTAGGACTTGCAAGGGGGATTAAAGTGAAAGAACGTGCTAACGGCTAAATGCTTGAAAGGTGCGGAGCCAGGTGTACCGCGCTGAAACGGAGATTCAGCAGAAACTGGCTTCAGCGAGGCTTCGCCTACTTGACTGGCATCACGGCAAGGGTTGGGCGATTGGCAAGGAAGCGCCTTGGCTGACACTCGGGCCGCACGCGCTGATGACCGCTGATATCCGTATTGCTATCATGTAGAACTATGCAGTCTTGTTCGTGGCCGGTGAGGATTTCGAAAAACTTGAACAACTTTGGGCGGACTATGCTAAGCTGAAAACAAGTATGGCCAGCTCTGAACTGTTGGCACACTCTGCACGCAGCAGCAGTACGTGGTCTTTGACGCAGCTGTCGCAATATCTTCCAGAATTCTGGGTTCTTTCCTGGTGCTCAAAGACCAGCACCCAAAGGCGGAGACTGGACTGCTTGGAAGCATTTCTGAAGGAATCCAGCCAAATTCATGGGCAATCAATCGGTTGCTCGGGAAAAGCATGCCAAGACCCAGAGTGGCGAAAGCGTCTCCTGCAAGATCTGGAGGAAGTTCTCCGTGTCCTGGGCTGCCCCGAAGCGGCTCGCAGCTCGCCAGCACCCTTCAGGCGGCTCGGAGGTCTTGCCAAACTCAATGCCAAAGAAGCTGCATCTCGCAGTGTGATAGACAAACTGTTTTTCCCTTTGTGCGCCGAATTGGATGTGGAAGTTTCCTTGGAGGAGTACCTGCGCAACTCCCCAGTACCCATCAGTATTTGTGACTATGTCTTGCGAAGAAAGGGAGGAGGACAGGCTGGCCAGGTGCTGGGAGCTTTGGAAGCAAAGCGTTGCTCTGAGGGCGGACAACTGCTGGGTCAAGGCGCTGCGCAATGCATCTTGCAGCTGTTTGCTCTGTGGGCGGACAGGAGCAGGTGCCCAGCTCAGACGTCTGAGGTTGAGGTTGTTTAGGCCCACGCAAGTTATGCAGCGCAGAAAGAAACAAGGACCGCTATTCCTCTTCTGGGTATTGTCACGGATGGCCGGTACTGGCTATGCATTCATTTGCATAAGCGATACGTAGCGATCACTCCTTTGCTGGATGTCTCCCATGAAGCGTCTCAGCTGCAACCTCGGATCACACCGTGTCTTTTTCCCGGTCCCACTGCCACAAAGAGGAGCTCGTGCACACATGTACAAGTCATGTACACATGTGCGCACGTGGCACCAAGCAGGGCAGTTTAGTTTAGTCAACAAGCTCAAGCTTGCGCTTGTCCTTCTCCAATTTCGCTTGCCCTGAGGCGCACTTTTGGACATTGCTCGATCCTAAGTCAAAGTGCGATCAAGCGGCATGCCCCTGCAAAGTGCACCTTCAAAGTTCTTCTTGAGCTCTGCACTGAGGCTGGATTTCTTGGTGCACAACCTTGGCTCCAAGAAGAGCTAACTGCCACTTCATGAAGCCTACTTGCTTGAGCCATGCGATGGCCATCATCCACCCAGTCAACAAGTCACCCAGCCGTCGCGACAAGTCTGGAATGCGGTAGTCCAGCTGACAGATCCGAACCATCCGGATTGTCCGATCTGTGCCAATGCTCGAGAGCTTCAGACCGGCTCTGCAGCCGTGAAAATGGAGCAACCAGAAAGCCCAGCGTTTTGGTTGTGAAGAAGGGACTGACCGTTCTCGCTGCGTAGGCACGACTTGGCGAACGACCCTGGATGGGCTGCCCAATACCTGGAAGCGTCTGATGCATCGGGCTCTTTCACAGCCTGAATCTCAGCTGACCCTTTGAATGAACTGAACTTTGGAGTCCAGTGCTTTTAGGAGTGGGCCAGCAACGCGGAGTTTGTAGCCACGGGCTTCAGCGGTCCCTCGCTGCCTTCGTCCAGCTCGTCATGACCCCAACATAGCGTAAACATCGCTTGCAGGCTCAAACTCGCAGGGCTGATGCCACTCGACAGGTCCACCTCGGGCTGCGACCGGGCGAGACATGTCAGCCTGGACAGCGTCACTCCCAATTAGCAGTGCATATTCTGGTAGGTTGAAAGAACCTGACGTTTTCATCACTAGAAAGACGCTCAGGCTTGGATGAGTTTGTGGACGCGGCGAGTTCCTTCTGGTTAGATGCAGGGGTGCGGGAGCAGGTGCGGAGGGGGTCACTTAGGAGTCGCCAGAATTACAGTCTGCACTTTCGCATGACTCAGTCACAAGTTGCGGTTTGCCTCCAGAAGCTCTGATTTACTGAGGTGCGCTCACTGCGCCGCGGCCTTCATGACGTTCTTGGCCCGAGAACTGGCGCACTATGGCTCTTCTCACCTCTAGAGTGCGAGCCCGAGCTATGGCGTGCTATGTTGCTTGCTGCCCATTGCTTGGCGGCCTCAAGACAGTGGGGACTCAGCATTCTGAGGCTGAGGGAACTTTTCTGTGGCGTAGAGTCCATATCATGGACAAGTCAGGACAGTGCAAACTTTATTCGAGAGCGGGCTTGTTGGTCTACGGGGCTTTTGAACAAGGAGCTCTTCGACCACCTGCATGCAGCCGGTGGCCTGTCACGCGACGATGACGTCATGGCCTGGCTCCGTGATGAGCTTCTCGAAATGTCGCAGGCCTGGCCCAGCAACTCCTAGACCTCTAAAAGCACACAAAAGCATACTCTATCCACGGCATCGTTCTGTCGCCTGTATGTATATATCTTGCTGACCCGCCCTGACCCATAGCTTCCCAACGAGTTTTTGGTTCCAGTCCCCCCATGATTATGAGCTATTGCCACGATTCATGCCCATTTGTCGCGTGCCTTTAGCTGACAATCTATTTGCCGCAGATGCTTCTCGAGTACAGGGTACAGTAGAGTTGAAGCTTATGGATACCGGTAGAGTAGCCATACTGGCCAGCGCCTGGCTGGCTTTGGTGTTGGCCTGGCTGCTTGCGCAAGCGGATGTTACAAATCTTTACAGCCTTGGTGATGCTCTTTTTGCCCTGCATGATATGAGCATTATCAGCCTTGCGTTGCCTGTGGCATTTTCAAGGGTTGCCATGCCAGCTAGCCCAGCAGAGAGCCTCCAGTGGCGCATTGCAGTCGGCTTGCTACTTGCCACAGTTGCTCTTATAAACAAGCACTTGCTCCTGGACGGAAGAGCCTCAAGCTACGGTATGCTGCTTGCTAGCCAAGTGGCTTCATACATCGTAGCTGCGAGGTGGGGTTCAGCAACGCGAACCGTCCTAGTCACATGCTTCAGCTTGGGATTGACATACTGGGTCGTGCAGGCTAGACGAGGAATATTGGCCATGCGCATCTCAAGTACATTGCTATTTGCACATTGCGCAAGTCAACTTGCAGGCCCCCCCAGTAGATTTTCTTTGACTTTGCAGGTTGCCTTGGCAATAGTGGGGTTTGCCCTTGCCCCAATGCTCGTGCCTGTCCTTAACCAGTGCTTGCCCACTGAAGAGATTGCAACTGCGTATGCAGCAGTGTCCACTGTAGTGTCCTCGGTCGCTGGACACGATACTTTCTACAACTCTGCCACGGAAATGCTCATCGTCATGGCGAGTGTTCAGATTCCCCTGGGATATCAAAGCATTGAGTTCTTAAGATCTGTGCAGGATCGGCAGAACGCACTCCTCACAGTTGGAAAAGGAGCATCGCTTTCGGCTAATGAGTACGTGTTAAGGGCGAGGCGCTGGGTGCTTCTCGTTTGTTTCCCATATCTTCTTCAGAAGACCATTATGACAAGCATCCAGTCACATACCTTCGCACGCTTCCGGCATTGGACAGAGCGTTCTCTTCGCCTTCACAGTTTCTTCCCACAAGAAGGCCATTCGGGGACCACGCTCAAAGCAGCTGCCAATTCCAACTACACTGTGGAGCAATATGCAGATGCTATCAACGGGGCGGTCGAGAACGCTTTCGCGATCATTTCGGCAAAGCTATTCTCCCTGCCCAAGGTCCTGCTGGTACCAGGCGTTGTTGTAGCCAAGCCCTGGCTGATGGTTGCTGTTGTTCCTGCGAGCGTCCTACTGGACACCAGCAAAGCTTGGATCACGGCGCATCTCACAGCAGAAGTAGAACTTCTCCATCGCCAGCTGCTCGAGCTTGCCAACAAGAGGCGCCGAATAGAGCTGCATGACATGAAGAACGAAGAGCTTCTTCAGCGAGCGCACGCATCTTCTTTTGTTCAGAGACAGTGGCGGCAGGTTGGTGATCAAATAGAGGATCGTGGCATGAGATTGAAAGCCGTTCAACTGTTGCACAGCATCGCAGACCAGCTGTATCGTCAGCAGGTCCTCGGGCCTGGAATTGAATGCACCCTGGCTTTTCTCATGGAGACGAACTACATTAGCCGCAGCGACATCTACCTTTACACGACAGTGCTTGAGCACGCGATAGACACTGTACTGACGCGGCAGCGTGAGCAGGCTACGCTAGCAAGCATGCAAACCAAAGTGTCGCTTGTGCGCCACTTGACTTATCAACTGTTGGAGCTCCGTTCACAAAAGCGTCCGCGGTGTACCACGACAGAGTCTAGCCAGGCCTTGTCTATAAAATCGCTAGAGTACGTACGTGGGCAGGCCCATGTCCAAATACCTAGCTTGATTCTGCCTGCTGGCCGCGTTGTTGCAGTGACAGGGCCAAATGGCTGTGGTAAGAGCACTGCATTAGCATTCGTGGCTTCGTGCAGGGGCTCCTGGACCCCAACAGGAGCTGAGCTGCTGGGTGACGCTGTTTTGGACCTGCCTTCTGGTGATGTTGTCGAGATTGGGCAGCAATTCTACAGGCCAATGTTCACTTCCCCAATGTCCTGGCTTTTGTTCGGGAGACTAGAGGGCAGAAACATCCAGGAATTGCGGGGTCTTGCGCAACGTTTGCTGAAGGAGTTTGGCTTGATCAGGGCTTCTGACCTGCAAGGAATGATACTTCCTGGATCACTGGATTCAATGGATGCTCTGGATCAGGTGAAAGAGGATTGGTATAGCGAGCTTTCCGGAGGAGAGCGTTGCAAGGTGGAATTCATACAGAAAGTGTTTCTTCGACAAGAGTGCCCACCTGTGCTGTTGATAGATGAAGCCTTCGCGCCGCTGGATCCTGCATCGAGTCACTATCTCAAAGTAAGGTTGAAGGCTTTCTGCAGATATTCTGTAGTGTTGGTGGTTTACCATGGCAGCGAGAGCTTAGACGATTCCTTCTTCGATGATGAGCTGCAATTTGCACATGGAACTGCAATTCTTCGGCAGTTGCACTAGCTGCTGGCCTTCGTCGGCTGTGGCAGGGTTCAAAAAGGAGCACAGGGACACTATCAGGGTTTAGGGATGGATCGGGACTAGCTCAGACCTGTGGACAGCAGAACAACTTCCTTGGAAGGCGCTGCGGGCACGGTTCCTCGATTTTGCGACTTCGTGTCCACGTTTGCCCCCAGGAGGCTTCATGTGCCTCACATGATACTGTCTCTTCACGCTCATGACCCGTGTCCTGCCAGGTCTCGCGAGTCTGAAATTGACTGCTTCTCCAGGGGCAGGCAGCGCAGTGCAAGGCATTCAATTGGGTGCCACAAAACCAATGGCCAACGGCAGGCCGGTTCCCTCGAAGTCGCGCCTGCGCGAATCAGCTCTACCTGCCAAAATACGAGAGCCGACAGGACAGCCCTGGCAGTGGGAGCTATTCAAGCTGCTGCTGTTTGTACGATCTTGTGCGCAGGAGCTCCATGAGAAGCTGACTGAAGCCTTGCTTGCTTGTGAGGGCCATCACGATGCTGATCATTGATTTCCTGAAATATGCGTGCTTGGCATGGGATTGCTTGCTTTCCTGAAATGTACTCCCAGGTGTTGTCCTTCCATTTGTTGTTTCGAGATGCATGCGTCACTGATTTTCCAGCTTTGCAGACGAAGGCTCGCAAAGCGTCTCGTACCACCTCACATTCCAGAAGACTGTACCCTGGCAGTGCCTGGCTGAGACCTTGTGAACAGCAGGTCGGATCGCACTTCCGAAATGTGAGCTTAGACTGTCCATAGGCCCGTAGTACCAGTGAGCAGGCAAAGCGGCAGACTTAAAAAGCTCCGGAGCGCCTTGCACACAAGCAACCGCGCCCGAAGCCATGTCGGGCCTTCAATCGGGCAGTCCTGCTTGATTCTGAGTTCAGGGCTGGCTTCGGTTGACGTGCTGACAGTTTGGCCTTGGCAACGCGATTCAGAGGTTCCAGGAAGTTCGAGGTTGATGGGGTTGGAAGAATCTTGATGTCTCAGGTCCCAGCTGCAAGAAATTAGGAGGCTGTGCTTGCTCGCAAGTTGAATGGAACATGGCTTTGTGCGTGTGTGTGCACGGCCTGCCACAACAATGGGAGCGGCATGTGTTGCTCGTCGTCGGAGTCATACTGCAGCAAGGTGGCAGCACAGCATTCGTGCCTGTGAATCTCGAATCGAATGTAGAGCAGCACATACTCTATCAGTCAAACCAAAGTGCGAGTTGGTCAGATGTTGCCCCATCCATCCGCGACACGACAGAGCTTCTACTGCGCGATCACGTCGCTCCAGCGATGCTCTCTGTGCCGTCCAAACCGGCCCGGAACAGACAGCATCTGCCGCGGCGGTCCTTCGGGCACCGGCAGTTCCGGAGCAGTCCAGCTGCATGTCAGTGCACGCTGCATCCGCCAACGACGGCAGCATTCAGCCCAAAGACTGCGGATGGGGAATAGTGTAAGTAGCGTCGGAAGTCGGAACGGTAGGTTTCGACAGGAGTTCGTTGTCGTCGTCCCAGTCGTAGTAGTGGTAGTTGTAGCAGTCGTAGTAGCAACATACAGCAACAACAGCAGCAGCAGTAACAGTACCAGTAGCAGTAGCAGTAGCAGTAGCAGCAGCACTAGCACTACTACTACTACTACTACTACTACTGCTACGCGAACGGGTAGGTTCGCCCAGACTTGAGCTGTGCTTCATGTGAATTTTAGACATGAGGTTGGGTTTAGGGGTTTTTAGGGTGTAGGTGGTTTCAGGCTTTAGGGTTTTTAGGGTTTTGCTGTTTTAGTGTTTTTAGGGGTTTTTGCTGGTTTTAGGGTTTTTGCTGTTGTTAGGGTTTATGGCTTTTAGGGTTTATGGTGTTTAGGGTTTTTAGGGTTTAGGGTTTTTAGCGTTTTTAGCGTTTTTAGGGTTTAGGGTTTTCAGGGTTTTGTGTTTTAGGGTAAAGGGTTTTTAGGGTTTAAGGTTTTAGGTATTAGGTGGTTTTGAGGGTTTAGGGCTTCTAGGGTTTGGGGTTTAGTGTTTAAAGGGCTTTTGCTGTTTTTTACGGTTTCGTGTTTTCAGGTTTTAGGGTTTAGGTGGTTTTTAGGGTTTAGGGTTTGAGGGTTTAGTGTTTAAAGGGTTTTGGCTGTTTTTAGGGTTTAGGGTTTGAGGGTTTAGGTTGTTTTTAGGCTTTAGGGTTTTAGTGTTTTAAAGGTTTTTGCTGTTTTTTGGTTTAGTGTTTTTAGGGTTTAGGGTTTTAGTGGTTTTAGTGTTTTTAGGGTTTAGGGTTTTAGGGTTATAGACACGTGTGCCTGGCCCCGAGGCTGAAAACAGTGCATCTTCGGCCTTCCATTTGGGACCTGAGGGCTTTGTAGGTAGGCCTTTGTAGGGCCTCGTAGGGTTTAGGGTCTTCGCGGTAAGTTAGCAGGCCCCCAAGGCTCAAAAAGCGTAAAAATCTGATTTCGTCCAAGAATTGCAAACCAGCTGGATACAACGGAAAGCGCGGGCCAGGCATGCAGCACATGGCATGGGGCGGCATGGGTGGCCTAGCCGGAACGCCCATGGGGAACCCAGGGGAGCAGCTGATGCTCGTGATGCTGGTCCCCCGCCGAAACAATGCGCGAAACGACTGCGACAGATGCCCAAATGAAGCCAGCTGATGCTAATGATGCTGGCGCAGGGGGCGCGCATCATGAGCATCAGCTGGACGGGCTGTGAGGCTGCGCGAGGGCGGAGCGCCCTGAGGTACTGTGAAGGGGGGTAGCCACTGACCTCCACGAATTTGTGTCAAACGTGTGTCCAACACACCAAAAAACCACAGACATGAGACTACTGGACTACATATATACTGCTCCAGTAGGCAATGAATGCAGCATGAACATCTGGTGGCCCAGCCGGGACGCCCATGGGGACCCAAGGGGGGCAGCTGATGCTCATGATGCTGGTCCCCCGGCCGAAACGACGCGCGAAACGACTGCGACAAGACGCCCAAGGGGAGCAGCTGATGCTCATGATGCTGGCCCCGGAGCGTTAGAAAAACACAGGAAAACGTTGTAAATACCGCTAAAAACGCGCTTTGAACGATGCAAGCTATGTTTGGGGCCGACAGCTGTCCCAAAAACGCAGGACACTCCCGATGATGCTGAAATGGGGGCCCGAGTTTCTGCAAATCCGATATCGTAATCTCCCAACCCCCCCTTCCCCCCCCTCGTTTTTGGCTTCGCCCTGCAACTCCAAGACGCCACACGGGCGCTTTCCGTCATCCACTGGCCCTGCCAGTGTTTTCGAGCTTCCAAGACGGAACAGAAATTCCGAAATTTGAAGCCCGGCTCAAAAGCAAAATCACTGGCCCTGCCAGTATATCGGGATTTCTCCGGGCAAACCTCCCCTTTTCCCCGTACTACTACTACTGCTGCTGCTACTGCTACTGCTACTGCTACTACTACTACTACTACTACTACTACCACTACCACTACCACTACTAGTAGCCCCCCCTACCAACTATGTT